ATACTAAGGAGCGAGTGAAGGCAAAGCGAGAAAAAGAAGAATCGTTCTGGTTGTGAGCTATCAGACTGATGGAATGCCGTCGTTTGACTTTTAAAAGCTAAATTTCGTATGTGTTTGCTTTTAAAGCACGCTAAGTGCCGAACAAAAAGTGCGTAACAAGAAATTCGTTTTAGATGAAGTTTCCAAAAAATACACGTTAGAAGCTTTCAAAATTAAATACAAAAAGCAAAGTAAGCATTTCAAAATATGAAATTCTCCGGATTAAGTTGCAATAAAACAAACCAAGTCCTGGATGCCGCAATCGCGTAACAGGTCACCAGCTGCTTGCCGCCTGACGCGTAATTCATCGGTGGTTTTCGCTTGCTTATCTGCAGTGGTTGAGTGTTGAGAACTGGCTGCTGTTGCTATGGTGCTGGAATCTGTTCCATCGGGAATCAGATTGGAGCCGAAATTTTCGGGCAAGCCAATAAGGAGCGTTGCGCTATCACTTTCCGCCACCTCCACTCGACAAGTATCGTATTTGTTCTTCACAAACATTACTCCCGAGAAGGGTTCATTGTTTCGTATCTGCAATTTAATTCTCAGGAAACTGAATTCGAGGCTCACTAATGCAATAGTAGAGCAGGTGTTGATTTAGATCAAGTCTTGAATTTTACTGCAAAATACCCGTTTTATTCATAGATCAGTATATTTACCAGGCATCGTAGCAAGATCCGATGCACAAATATGCATAAAAACGTTTAAGTTTTGCAATTCACATCGCCGAAGTCATCAGGACGGCCCGATTAATCATCGGTATGGGGATCTGTTACTAAATGCTCCTACAAGCTTGCGTACCTATCTAGAAAACTTTTCGGTCCTCAGGCAGCATGAGTCCAAATTTTTCCACTTATTAGTTTTTTAGTTTTTAACTAGTTCCTTTTCTGCAGCTTTATTTTCTTGTGTTCAGCTTTTTAAATTTAGTGGAACTTTTATGCGTTTTGTGCTGCAACTGTTGCGCTATCCTGCTGCGTACCGTTATTTATTAACGTTTGATTTCAAAATGCTTGTGCATACCAAGAACCCCTTTCTACTTAACTCAAAAATCTGTAATTTGGCTGACTACCGCTAGCTCTGTAAGGCTTAAGCTGCCTGTAGTGATGCCACGAAGTTTGCTTTTCTTTTGACACATATCGAAATTTTTCACTATTTTACACAGTTTCTTGTAGAATTCAAAAAAGGGCGTCTAATAAAAGCGGACACGACGTATTGCTGCACCTCACTGACATTAACAGCACATCAGTGACAGATCAGCGGATGTGTAAAGGAATAAAAATAAGTGAGCAATGAGCTTCTCTTTGAGTCACATTGTACGAGATGGGACATTTGACCATAAGTAAGAGGCGACCTGCACTTTAATGCCTTCGTAATTGCAAATTGTGTGGACCGCATCAGCAGCAATCTGCACCATCGGTCCAGGGAGTTTTCCAGACGAGGAGACTGTAAGTGTAGCATCTGCCTTCGATTTCGCACCGCCACTGGTTTTACTTGTAACACCACTTGCTGCCACTTTCGCGGGCAATTCTGGAGCTCGTCGTTGAGCTTCCTGTTCGCGCAAGAATGGCTTCGCCTGGAAATATTATTTGAGCTTAAACAATTGTTTTACATTTGAGTGGTCGTCGGCTAGACAGAAAGACCCATTTGTGTTCGAAGTGATGCCGATGGAAAACCGTGAAGTGAGATCCAAAGAAGGTATGCATAGTAAAGATGTTAATTATGATATAGATAAAAAATATGTGAAAATTATAAAAAGTTAAATTAAAGAATTGATAAATAGGAACATTTGGGTCCAATAATAAGTCGCAGACATTCCTAGTCTACACGACTACGGCACCATGCATGTTGAGGGGGAGGTATACAAAGGCATCGCGGAATCACAAATTTTAAGAAGTGCAAGCAAGGAATGGGACGTCATGTATCTACGACAAGTGGTCCGATATTTGTGCGTGACTGCACTTTACACAGTCACGGACAATTTGCACTAAAAAGGTTTTTTAGAGAATTTAAAGGAAGAGAATCAAATAGTGGCCTGCTTTCATATAGCTATAAGAATATAATTTACAACTATTTGCTCAATAAATAATACTATCCTAAAGAACAGACACAGTAATAATAACAGAAATTAAAGAGGCAAGACAGAAGATATTAATATCAATTTCCTAAAGAATCAGCTAGAAATGGTGAGCCTCAGCGCTTTGAAGCAATATTAAGAAGCTTTACTTTGGAAGCGATAGCATGTGCTTTAGCCTCTTGCTTCTGCGTCGATATGGATGGATGAGAAACATTCTGGAGCAGATGCTTCGGGACATTGGACGCAGCACTGTATCCGGACTCAATTTCCTTGACAAGACATAAATTCTTGTAGAAATCAGTGAAGTCATTCTGCTTCCCATTTCCCTCGATCTGATCGAACAACTCGCAACGGCCATTCCTTCGGTTATAATTTACGCCTTCGCATCTGGAAATCGCAGACTACGTAAAACTCACTGATATCCACAGACACACGCAGCAGCTACTCCAATAGAAGCAATTAGCACCCAAATGAAATCTGTCAAGCATGCTAGGCGAGAAAACATATTTCAGGAGAGTTTGTGTGTGAGTAAAATCCTACATCGAGGAACAAGTACCGTACCCCAAAATCCACGCTTTTACCTCACTTCCCCGTCTGACCCGATTAAATATCCGCTTTAATTGGAGCCACTACTTCTCGTAAGCTAAGTACTCGTTACTTCCAACCGCCTTTTCACATTATACATTCGTGATAAATGCTTTATTCTGTCATTGTTCTAGAAACTGCATTGCCTGGGCAGTTTGATACGCAGCGTAGTGAAGACAGTTAACCTTTGAGCAGAGGCACACAAATCGAGGCATTTACTGAGTGCGATAGTCTCATAAAACTGCGATGGTATTGCATCCTGTTTACTATACAGATGTCGCGAGAACTGCGTCCCATTGTTCTGCTGGCCGCACCGCTTCGCTTCTGGAATTCAGTGAAATTTCGCTCACATCTTTTTTAAAGGTGATAAGATGTAAGTGTTGACAATGTTTAAGAAGTGTGAGTGTTTTCATATTAAGAGATCACATTCAGGCACAACACAAAATCCCAAAACACACTTTTCCAAGCCAAAACACACTTTTCCAAAATCCCAAAACACACTTTTGTGTTTTTATGCATTTTTATGCGTTTTTGCCGTGCAGCGCTAGAGCGCTGCAATAGGCAGCAAAAACGCATGTTGCAAC